GCTTTGGGGGGCACAGGACCAAGGAGGAGGGGGAAGCCCAGCTTCTGGGATGCTCACCTGGAGGAGGACTCCTGAGATCAGAAAAGGAAGTCTCCACGCCCCCCCCCATGGCAATATAAAAATGCCTGGCTAATGCAGCTCTGCATCAGGTGGTTGGACTAGATGACCCTTGTGGTCATCTCTCCAGTTCTCTGATTGCATTCTTGTACTGGTAGGGCAAGGTATACTGCCTCTGGATAGGGAGGCTCTAGTCTGAGCTAGCAGGGTCAGCCATCCTGAATCTGCAACGACTGTCTTTATGGGCCAGGCTAATGGTTCCAGCAGAGGCAGGCTTGCCCTCCACCTGCCACCCAGAGTCCACACAGCAGTGCACAGTTAGCTGCGGAACTCACTGCCACAAGACACACCACCAGCCACAAAGGAATTAGGCAACGAATGGAGCCAGGAACGGCCAGACTGAAAGGAGCATAGGAAGCTGCCTTCTATGGCCACTGGTCTATCTGCCTCTGTATTGTCTACACTGACTGGCAGCAGCTCTCCAGGGTTTCAGGCAGGGGACATTCTCAGCCCTACCTGGAGATGCTACCAGGAATTCAAGCCAGGACCTTCTGCACTAACCAGGGCCAGCTCAAAACATTGTGGTGCCTGAGGCAAGCGGGGAAGGAGGGGGCATGAAGATCTACATTAGAAACAAGGGGAGAAAGATCTGCTGCCTGAGATGGTCACCTCACCTTGCCTCAAGGGAGGGCCGGCCCTGGCCCTAACCACAGGGCTCTTAAGTCGGGAGGCTGCACACAAGAAGCAGCAGGAGGCTTCTGAGTACCAGAACAGCCGTAAGGCAAGACCTGCACTTTCCTGAACAACTTGTTGGCTGCTTCGACCTGCAGAACTGGCCCTTTTACAGGTGCCCCATAAAGTGCCCCAGCACTCTGGAACTCCCTGCCTATTGACATCCGGCACGCACCTTCCCCATATTATTTTTGATGCCTTCTTAAAATATTTTTGCTAGCCTAGTCCTATTCGTTCACTGCTGATTCTAACCATTTTTCAATGTTTAATTGCTGGTTTTTATTGATAGTCTTAATATGTCTTATGGTTGGACAGTGTTCTCAAAGCTACCAACATGATTTTGACCAAACTGCAGGAGGCAGTGGAAGACAGGAGCCTGGTGTGCTCTGGTCCAGGGGGTCACAAAGAGGCGGACATGACAAACGACTAAACAACAACAATATGTCTTACAAACCAGTTAGATGTTTTGTTACAATCAAGTCGTATATAAATTTCATAAACTAAACAGAATTTAAATTAGAACAAATTGTTTGGCTGTTGGTGGAGCTAAGGGATCCGTCTCTGATGGCTGACCAGGATTCCAGCCTGAAACTCTGGGCAGCTGCTGCTGTTCAGTGCAGACACCCCCAAACCAGGCGAGCCAGGTGAGCTTCCTATGGGGACCCAAAGCTGTTTGTGGGGTCAAGGCTGTGGGGCCTTTGCAGCCCAACTAAGCCAGGCAGCCATCCCACTCCACGCCTCGCCCAATGGAGACACGGGGGGGGGGGGAGAGCCTGGCCCTGGGGCTAAGTCCCCCACCCCAACTACCAGCCCACTTCTCTTTCCACCACACAACCAGCTTTGCCTTGGGAACAGCCCACCGCTGGGATTACTCAAGATCCTTGGGGGAGGGGTGCACAAGGAAGGCCCTCTCACCCACCCAGAGGGCCAGATACTGGAGGGAAGGAAGCCCTCCAGAAGGACCTCTCTGGCTTGGGAGTCCCAGCCACAGGGAAGGAGGCGCCTGCTCATCCCCTGCACTGCAGAAAATGCTCTCACAGCTCTGCAAAAAACCAGACGGTCCCCTCCTCATATTTGCGCCCTTCCCCCAGGTGTACGGCGCAGTAGATAATGTGATTCCACCTGGGCTCAGGCAACAGCCAAGGGACTGGAGGGGGGCACCAGCTGGGGCTGGCCAGGAAGCCACCCGCAGGACTCCTGCCAGCCTCCTGTCAATTATTTACCGGGCTGCTTCAGTTCCAAGAGCCTGCAAAGAGGAGGGGTCAGGAATACAGGGACAGACACACACCGCCTCAGTACGGCCCCCTCATTATTGTCTTCCTCTTGGAGGCAAGACCACTTTCAAGCCCCCCCCCCTGCCAGGCATGTCCCACACCCCAACCGTCCGAGCCCCCCACAGAATGATGTCACAGGCAGTAGCAGGCCCTGGGCAAAGGGGGGTGTCAAGCTGACCCAAATCCTGTCCCCCAACCCATCGTGGCTGCCTAGCAGCTCCCCACCCCCAGCTCTTGCCCAGCCAGAGCTCTCCCTGCAATGCGCAGCGCGCTCTCTTCTCTCAGGTAGGTTCGCACCTGGATCAGCAGGAACCTCCTTCTCACGCACAGCTGAAATGGCACCAGGATCCCACCTTGCCTTCTTTGCACTACTAGAGAGATGCTCCTGGGAAGGGGCGCGAGTACCAGAGTGAGGATTCAGGGGCAGGAACCCCAGGAGGAGGAGGCGCTGCAAAGAGGTCCCTGGGCAGCGTGCCAGCCTCGCTCCCTCCGCTCCCCCATCTGGGAAACGGGCACAAGGGTGTCCCCTGCCAGGAGTGGCTGAGAGGGGAGCTCGAAGAGCTTCGCGCGCCTCGCACATGCCGCTTCGCTACACAGCAGAGCCCTTGGCGGAGACCCCGTCCTCTGGGACCCCCAGCACCCTCCAGAAGGACCCCTTTCCCCAGGGTACCCATGTGGCCCGCGGGCGACGAGGCCACGCCCCTGCCGCCTTCGGCCGGGAAAGGAGCGCGGAGGAAGCGGCGCCTCCCCGGATCCAGGTGGGCCGGGCGGCTCTGCGCTGGGCGGAGCGCGAGAGAGCGAGGCAGGCAGGATGCAGGCGGATGCCTGGCGAGTCCCCCGACGGGAAGCCCCGCCCGGTGGAACCGGCCCTCTGCACATGCTCGGGAACCCCGCCCTTCCGAGGCGCCGCTTCCTTGGGTCGCCCCGGGGAGAGCCCAGCGCCGGGTGCCCCGCCAGCCCCCCACAAGCCTTCAGAGAAAAGGTCGCCCCGGGGCTGGCGAGGCCGTCGGCGCTCCGGCCGAGCCCTTCCGGGGGGCGAAGCGGACCCTCCCGGCCGCCGCCGCCGCTCTCTCACCCGCTCGCGGGCCTGGCGCTCGGCGTCCACTTCCCGCTGGAGGTGCTCGGCGCGCTCCTCGGCCTCGTCGGCCACTTGCTGCAGCGTCTGGATCTTCTTCTTGACCGCCTCGATGGAGCTGCTCCCGGCCATCTTCCCGGGCGGAGGCGCGGAGGGGCGGGCGGAGGCTGGAGCCCGTCGGGGGGCTGGATCGGGGGCGGCGGCGGGCTGGCGGGGCTCCTGGCCCGGGCTCTGGCTGGCGCTCGGTCGCTCCGTCTGCTCGCCTACCCGCCCAGCAGGAAGAAGCGCTCAGGATGCGGGGCGAGGCGGCCTTCCGCGCCCCGCCTCCGCCTCCTCCTGCTGCTGCCGGCTCTGCCCATTGCGCGCCTCCTCCAGCGCGCTGGCCCGGCCTCGCTCTTAAAGAGCCCGCCGCGGAGGCAGGGAGGCAGGGAGGGGGCTGGCGCTGTCCGTCGGGGGTCGCGGCGCCGTCGAAAGCGAGGCAGCGCGCGCTAGGCGGGCCGGACTCAGGCGCAAAAGGCGGCCACGCGCAGGCCCGGCCATTGCAGCCTCCTGGCAAGCGGGGGCCCCGGACTCCCCGACGCTTCCTCCCGGGGCAGCGTGCCAAGTGTCGGTGCCCCGGGAAGAGCCTCGCCCGCCCGGCCGGCGGCTTCATGCGGTGGCCTCGGGGAAGACTCCGCTGCGCCCCCTTCTGGGCTCGCTTTGCCCACAGGGCTGATCCGGTGGCTACTTGGCTGGAGGACTGAGAAGAGCACCAAGCCAAGCGGGGACTTTCGGATCTCCCTGCTGCTGTGACTCCGCCGAAGGACAACTCGATCCACTGCCACTTGACTGAACCGAGTTTCCCCATCAGACGGGGTCAGCTGCTGGTTGCTGCAAAGGCACAAGAATGAAGGCCACATCTGCTGCTCCAAGGCTGCTCTCCTGTAAAGCTGAGCCATCAGTAGGGATCTGTGTTAAAAGAGATTCTTGGAGGGACACTCTGCATGTGCTTTGGGGCATTTTGTCCTTGGAGCTGCAGGATATTCGGTTGTGGTCTTACTTTCTTGCAACATGGCACTCAGAGCAGCAGCAGCAGCCTCCACGTGGCTGCTCCAGGGACTCACCAGTCCAGGCGCTGGCCAGGCCTCCTTGGCTTCAGTAAGGTGGTTGCCTCCTGGGCATACCTGGCACCCTGTGTATGCTCAGAAGCCCGTGGACCAGACCTGTGAATCACAAATGGGCAGAGGGCTGATGGAAGAAGAGCGTCCCCAGTCAGGGCCGCTGGGATTTCTCTGCTCCTTTTGAAGCTGCCTTTATCCCATTCATCACAGAGTGTTTAGATGACACCGCTGCACAGGAAGGGGGAATAAAATCCTGCTTAAGAACCTGAGAAGGGCCTACTGGATCAGGCCAGTGGCCTGTCTAGTCCAGCATCCTCTTCTCACAGTGGCCAACCAGATGCCCTAATGGGAAACCCAATAGCACTTCCCCCTCTTCTGGTTTCCAGCGATTCGCATTCAGAAACATTGCTGCCTCGCACTGTAGAAGCAGAGCCATCTTGGCCTGGAGCCTTTATAGCCTTACCCTCCATGAATTTGTCCAATCCCCATCTAAAACCATCCAAGTTGGTGACCATCACTACTACTTGCAGTGGCCGACTTTGGGGTCTCCAATTTCAGCAGCATCCTGTGCAACACCGAAATTTGGTGTCCTTGCCTCTTTCCATCCCGAGGCTCCACGCCCAACTGGTTGCACTTCCCTAAATCCGCCTCTGACTTCTTGTGGGAGTGAGTTCCATAGTTCAACTGTGCACTGTGTGAAAAAGTCCTTTCTTTGATCCTGAATCTGCCAACATTCAGCTTCATTGGATGTCCAGGAGGTCTAGTGTTGAGAGGGAGAAAAGCTTTTCTCTTGCCACTTTCTCCATGACTTCTATCATGTCGCCTCTTCCTTGCCTTTTTTGTAAACTAAAAAGGCCCAAACGCTGCCACTTTCCTCCATCCCCGTGATCATTTCAGTTGTCCTTTTCAGAACCAGATCTGAAGTCCTTTGCCCAGTTCTGGGCTCCTCCACTTTGCCATAGATAAACTGGAATGGTTTCAGAGGAAGGTGAGAAAGATGCTCAAGGAGTGTGGAAAACCAGTCCTGTGAGGCCAGGTTGGAGGAACTGAGCCTGCTTCCCCTGGAGAAGAGGAGACACGAGAGCCTTCTTCCTCTTCCTCGTCGTCTTTGCTGAAGGGCTGTCATTAGACAGAAAAAGGCAGGGAGTTCTTTTCTGCTGCTGTCCCAGGTGGCAGGATGAGATCCACCTGGCTTACATTACAGGAAGGCCTCTTCATTGATGGTAGGAGCAGTTTGAGGGTGGTGGGAGCACTTCCTGCTCCCTGGAGGGTGAGCCTCTCCGTCCCAAGTGGTCGTCTTCAAGCAGGACCCAGACATCCATCTGTTTTCTTTTTGAGGTAGGGGCTCTAGCTCTGAGTTTCCTCCACTGAGCAGGGGGCTGGACTAGATGGCCACCGAGACCCCTTCCAGCCCCTTCTTGGGTGAAACAGCTGGCAGTGAAGGGAGAGCACAGCCATTGTGGCTGGTAGCTAAGCACCTGCCACCTTTCGGCAAGATAGGGCCCCTCCGAAACATGTCTCAGCGTGTGAGTGCGTGCGTGCTGGGGAGGGGGTGTCACAACACTCTATGGCAAGCTGGATGTGCTCATACATCTCCCATGTGTTTCCACTTCCTGGTCTCTTGAAATACTAGGTTGCTGCTTGCTGCATTGGAGCACAATTCCTTCTCTCTGCCTTCTGCTGAGTCAGACCACTGGGGCCATCTAGGTCAGTAGTGCAGATACTACTGACAGGCAGGCAGCGGCTGTTCCAGATTTCAGAAACAGAATGTCTCCCAGCCCTTCCTGGAGTTGCTGCCATTGGAGTTGAACATGGGACCTCCTGCATGCAAGGCAGATGCTCCGCCACTCAGCTGTGTCCTGTCTGTCTCTGTTTTATATCATCAAAGCTGCTTGAATAGTGTTGGGTTTTCAGGTTTTACCTTCTTTTACTATTTCCTTGCACAGCTCCCAGAGTCTGATAGTTCTTGAATGTCTAATGTTTTAATTGAATTGAATCAATTATGTTGAGATTCCTTCATTGCAGGGCTCTAGGGTGGCCACTGGCTTACTTTCTGTTCCAGAGGACCAAGGAGGCTTGCACCTGAAAGACTCCCTAGTCCAGGGCTGGTGCTTGGCAGAGTTGCAGGAGCACTCCCCCCCCCCCCGCCGGCCAGCCTCTAGGGAGCCCCTCTCCTGCCTTCAGCTGTGAGGGTGCCAGAAGCAACTCCCTTCAGGCTGTGCCTGTGCTATAGTCATTGTGTGACATGGCATCCTGCTGGTGCACGAAGAGAAACGCCAGTCCCCTAAGGCAGAAATGCATGTTGGGAAGAGTCTTGGGGTCCAAGGGTGGGCTGAGCCAATCCTGCTCTCAGGAGAGCAAACCAGAAGCCCAGCCTTAGAAACACCCTCAGGTCCCCATCCTCTCCCAGGGACACCGCCTGGCTCTTCTTTGGCTAGGCTTTAAGCCACCCGCTTTGAGGCCGGAACTCAGAGGTCAGGGTTTCTTCCTGTCCCTCTAGGTCTAGGATGTCCCTCCCCACGCAACCCCCTTGCCAAGTTTCCTCCTGGGGAGGCTGTGAGGCCAAAAGTATCTGTCTCACAGGGCCAAGGAAAGATGCAACTGGCCTGTGACATTTATGATCATAGTCCCTTCTGAATGGGGCAAGTTGAGGCCCCTGGACCAGTGAATCTGGGGGCCACCTCCCCTGAGTGCGTCTGCACTGTGCTATCACCCTGTACATTCCCAGGCTTCAGTTCCTCTCTTTCCATTCAGGAGGAAAGAACACCCCAGGGTTTGTCCCCATTCCCATCATTTACTGCTCTGATGCTACACATGCGCACATACATGCTTCCATTCAAGGACCTCCACCTCTCAGGCACTTGCCTTGTCTCCTCCAGCCCACTCAGGCCTGTGGTGCCCCCACCCCGCTGCTTTCTCCTTCCCCAGGGCCTGACCTGCCTCCCCTCTTGCTCAGCCTGGCCTCCCCCTGCATCCAGTGGTGGCTTCCTCAGCGGCTGGCCTGGGGGAGGCCAGATGACCACCTGGGCTCTGCCCCCCCCCCATGACCAGCCCTTTGAAGAGGCATCAGTCAGCATGTGTGTGCTGGACTCCTGGAAATGGGGGGACCTGAAAGGCGAGGCTGAGGAATGGTGCCAGGCCAGCTAGCCTGTTTCCAAGCCAGAATTTCTGCCTTGGTCTTGGTGCCCCCAAACGGGCCTGGAGCCATTGCAAAGCAGTCCGGTGTTCCCTTCCAAGTACATGCGCAGGAAATGGGGGGGGGCGACTTCTCAAGGCAAAGTCACCTTTACGTAAGGACTCAAATGCACACACGCTTCCGGAATGGGGAGGCATTTATTTCCCAAATAGGGTTGCGAAAAATGTCCTCCATTGGCAGAACATACGAAACATGGGGCAGCCCCGGCCTGCCTGCCAGAGCCCAGCTGCACTGGGGAGAAAACCTGCACCTGCCTTGTTCTGGACGGGCCGCGAGAGGAAAGGGGGGACCTGCCTCCGAGTGGGGCAGAGCCAGGGCGGCTGCGCTCCTACATCCCGGCAGTTGCTCTGCGCCAGTCAGCCCCCCCCCCCGCCCTCTAGCCAGTCTCCTCCTCTGGGCTCGGGGCATGGCCAAATATGAGCAAAGGCGGCGGAGGCTGGGACGGGCGGGATGCTGAGCCAGCTGCGCAAGACCGAGCGCAGAGGCTGAGGAATCGTAGATTCAAAGGATTGAGAAGTTGGAAGGCACCCAAAGGGCCATCTAGTCCACCCCCTGCAATGCAGGAATCGCGGCCAAGGAGGATCCCTGGTGGAGGCAGGGTGCCCCTTGGAGGAGTCGCCCGCAGCCTCCCGGTCCTGCGCCCAAGCGACTGGCTTCGAGGCTCATCTGCGCCCTGCAGCAAGCTAGGAGAGCGGCCCTCGTGCCAACCTGCGGGAACTAAGGGGCATCATCCAGCCATGGGCCCCTGTGCACTGTGGCCTTGGGGGGGGGGGCGGGTCAGCAGGTAGACCGTGTCCCCCCCCCCCAGGCCTCCCGCCTTGTGGCAAAGCTCTCGACCAGGCTGCGTCGCCAGCCTCCCGCCTCTGGGTTAAGCCTCTGGAGGAAGGAGCAGGCGGGAGCCTATTAGCACCCCGATTAGCACCGCCTCGCCTGGCATCTGTCTGGCTCGAGCCCTCCGCGAGGAGGAGTCTGCAGACGGGCTCTGCCTGAAGGGGTCATATCTGCTGGCAGTGCCCACCGCCACTCGAGGAGCAGCCAGGGCGGCCTCTGCTCCTGGACTGGCCCGGCATGATGGGCGCAAAGACAACCGCCAGGCAGGCTGCGCGTGTGGGCACCGCTCAGTCCCGGCCAAGAAGGGGCTTTTCCGGAAACACCGGGCAGGAGCTGGCACAGTGCCCGAGCTGTGCGCGGACCAAGCCGAGCAAGCAGCCAGTAGACCGCCGGGAGAAGCCCAGTCCGAGCACTAGAGACCCCGCCCCGCGCTCCCCGCTTCGCTCCAGCCGCGCAGGTTGCGCCCCCTCCTCTCCCTCCCGCTGTTGGCGGCGGGTCCGGGCTGGCGGCGCTCCAGGCGGCGGGTCCCTTTTAGGCGCTCCTTAAGACCCCCTGATCGCCTTTCACCCGGGCCTCGAGCCCGGCTCGGGCAAGGAGCATTTATTTATAGGGTGTCAAATGCCCTCGAAGGAGGCCGGGCCAGTGGCGGGTCCCCCGAGCGGGCTCCTCTTTAAAGCTCTCGCAGCTGTCGCTCCCTAGAGCTCGGCCTGGCCGGAGAAGCACGCCGTGTCACCACCTCCCGCGCCAAGAGCCCCTTCCTGGCCCCGGGGAGACCCTCAGCTAACGAGCGCCCAGGAATGCCTTGACAACTTGATGGGCGGCGCGGGTGCCAAGGCCCGCGTCCGGAGCCTCCCCTGCCCGCCCGCCCCGTCTTAATGGCCCAGTGACGGCTCAATTCATCCTCGGGGAGGGAGGGAGGGAGGGGGGAGGCCCCACTGGCGGGCAGCTGCTCGGGGCTTAACGAGCCCGGAATACCTGGAGGGGCCCCGTCCCCTATGCCCTTGCTCCTCGGCGCCACCCACCCTGGCCCGGGCAGGATTGGCCCTCCGAGGGCATGCCTGCGCCTTCCCTTGCCGCCCCTCCGCCCCGCGAGCCGGACTTACGTCGCCGGCCTTCTTCTCGGCCAGCTCCAGCTTCTCCTGGGCCTCCTTGACGGCCTCCGAGTACTTGTCCACTTCATCCTCCGTCCCCTTCAGCTTCTTCTGCAGCCCCTGCTGCTCCTCCTCCAGCTGCGGGGGGTCGGGGAGAGAGAGAGGGGAGCGTTAGCGGGAGGCCGATGCGCTGCAGCTCGCTCCTACCCGGCGGGAAAGGGGATGCCCGGGGTAAGGAAGGGGCCGGGGGGGGGCAGAAGGGCCTTCCTGCACTCAGGATTATCTGGGGTGGGGAGCCTCCAGAGATGGGAGCCCAGCGGTGGGAGTTGGGAGGGCATTTGCCTGACTTGGTCCGGGCAGCTGGAAGCGGATTCACAGCTAGTGGGTGGGGGTCTTCTTGCCTGGCAAAGTGTCCACCCAGATCAACTGTCGGGGATGGAGGGGCTAGTGAGGTGTGGTTCCTCCTGGGGGTCTGCCCTTCTGGGGAGTGGGCGCCAAGAGGCCTGTGGGGCTGGGCGGGCGGGCACCTGCTTGCAGCGGTCCTCGGCCTGCTTCTTGTCGGCCTCCGCTTGCTCCGCTCGGTCGATGGCGTTCTCTTTGTCGAGCTTGAGCATCTGCATCTTCTTCTTGATGGCTTCCATGGCTGCGGCTGGAGAGGCGTCGGGACCCGACGGGAAGGACGGTCGGAGGCGCTCGAGCGGGCGAGAGCGAGAAGGAAAGGCGAGCGGAGCCGCGAGCGGTGGATACTGGCTGCGCGCCCCGAGCGGCTCGCGCTGCCTAAAAGCCGGGAAGGGGCCGGGCCCTCCCCCACAGGCCGAGCAGCACCTTTTAGGGACAAGCTGGCAGGGACGGGACCGGCCGACGAGCCTCGACGGGCGGGAGCGGGGAGCGGAAGGCGGGGACGCGGGCAGCCGGCCAAGCAGGCAGGCAGGCGCGGAGACGGGACGCCCCCAGCCCATCGCCGCTGGCCAGCCAGCCTGACGGCACGCGCCCCGGCACCTCTCCCCCTCCCTCGAGCAGGAGCCTCCCCGCTACCCCTTTCAACTCGCTCCGTCCAGCGATCCATCCCTCTAGCCTTGGATCTGTTGCTATAGTAACCGCCCCATCCCGGAGACTGCCCGCCTAGCCCGCCCGCGCCCCGCCAGGGCCACTGAGGCACCGGCCAGGGCCTTGGACCCTTCTGCAGGGTCGCCCCACGGCCAGGAGGCCCCCCAGGCGAAGGCAGGCCCCGAGTGGCCCCCCTTCCGCTTGGGCAGGCGCGGCGGGGGTCGCCAGGCCAAAGACAGCTGCCGCCCGGCCAGCCGCTTCCCCCACCCCCGGAGTCTCCCAGCAGGCCGCGGGACAAGGGGAGCTGGAGGACGCTCCCAATTTGGGAAGCGGCGCCACAGATTTCCTCCCTTTCAGGGACTATTTTGGGCTTTCTCTCTCGCGGACTTGCTCTGGGAACAGAGGGTGTTCCCTTTGCGCAGCGCTCCCCAGAGTCAGGCAGATGCTGAAGGGTTATGGGGCGGGCGAGGGTCCGAAGCTGTGGGGCTTTTGCTTGGGCTGCGCTGGAGTCCCAAGTCAGCCGCAAGCCTCCCTGTGGCCGGAGCCTTGCAGTCTCCAAGGCAGGAGGCTCTGCAAGCGCTCAGCGGGCCTGGAATGGCAAATCTCCCCATTCCTGCCCCACTCCGTGTCTTCCCTTCTGAGCAGCGGTGACCTCCAGCAGCAGGCACTGGCCGGCCCTAGCAGACAGGAGCAGGTGGGCCTCTTGGCGGGGCTTCAGCCGGGCCTTCCTGGGCTTGCGCTGTGCAGGAGTCGAGGTGCAAAGGCCTCCTCGCACCAGGTGAGGCAAGTCCTCCTGCTCTCCGTTGGATCTGCAGCACACTTGCCCCCCCCCCCCGACAGGAAGCCTCTTGCTTTGCTCCTCGTCCCCCAACTTGTGGGCAGGGATGTGCACCGCTCGGGATCTTTCTCTAAGCTAGAGATTTCCAGTCTGTGTCACCACCACCTCTCCAAATCATCTCGCTTCTGGGGTTCTGCTGCTCCAAATTAGCCCTCATTTTCATTAGGAGGTGTGTGCATCCAAAACATCAGTGTTGCTTCCTCCCAGGTCTCCTAGTCCTATTATCTAAGGGTGAAAACATCTTCCCAAGTGCCAGGTCCCGTGAGGGTTGGGAATTTGGGGGGAAAGAACCTGCTAGACCAGGTCAAAGGCCATCCAGTCCAGCCTCCCCTTCTCACAGCGGCCAGCCAGTTGCCCGTGGGAGTCCACAAGGAGGGCCTGAGCACAAGAGTAGCCCTCTCCCCCCCCTGAGTGACTGGCATTCATTACTGCCTCTGACCATGGTGGCAGAACATTGCCATTGTGGCTAGTAGCCCCTGCTAGCCTTCTCCTGCATTTGTGGGTTTTCTACAGATGAATCATGCTTTGCCATTACTTCTGTGTCACAACAGCACAGTCCTAGCTGAGCACCAGAAGCCACGCAATGGGACAGGACTGGCACCAAGCAGTAGAGCCAGAAGCACCATGAGGCTGGAAGGCGGCTCATCCTTAGGATCAGCAGAAATCCTGAGGGACCTCTTGCACCCAATGGGGTGGCCAGGACAGGAGCCGGATGATGCAAGACGGGACCCTGGAAGCAGCAGCAGCTGCCCCCTACACTCAAAACCCTGCCTGCGCCAACACATCCTGTGAGCTGCAAAGGCTGCTGGGCCTTGGTGCTCAGCTCTTCCTCGCCAGGTGCTGAGGTGGTGTGTAATGCCAGCCTCCTGCCACCCAACCCATTCCCTGTAAGAGGAGGGCAGCAAGAGGCAAGAGGAGCAGAAGGGCCAGGAAGACAGTGCACAAAGGTCTGCCTGGGCGGCTTACAGAGGGAGGCTGACAATGTGGGAGGTCAGAAAGAGGGTCTTGTCAGGGGCTGAGCCTGGCCTTATGGAAACTCTTCTAAGGGGGTATAAAGCCCAGGCACTGTGGGGTGAATTAGCTGCCAGCCCAAGAGGAAGCGGCTGTGGAGGCAGTACTGGGACCCCCCATCCCAGCAGGCAATGGGGGTTCCTTCTGTGGGAGACAAACGCATATTCTTGACAGTAAGTTGAGGGGCAAAGGATCACAGAGCCGCCTTGCGAGACAGACTCAGGCCACAGGAATGTGGTTGCTGGGGAGAGAGCTCTGCCATCTCCCTTGTTTGCAGCAGCGGGAAGAAACAAGAGAGCCCTTCTGCTTCCGGTCACTCTCACACTTCTCTGCTTCTCCGTGTCTTGGAGGCAGACAGATGTCTGTTGGTGGCCTCCCTGAGCACAGATTCCAGGTTTGTCATCAACGATGTATTTTGTAGCCTAGAAGTGTTTTACCTGCATAGTTTTACTGTGATCCAACACAAGACTGTTAAGTAAGTAAACACCATTTTTAAGCTGACTTTATAAATTGTTGCCTGGTTCTTTGCTAAGAGGGGGAAGCCAGCTAACCTTCATTAGCTGGGATTGCTCAGAAAATATAAGGCTTCGCAACCTAGTTTCAAGTATCTATGTTTTACTGCCATACATGGGAGACTGGAGGGATAAATTGTAATTAATATATCCCCTCCTAACCATCAATTACCCATCCCACACCTTCCACTGATGGGCCCTCAGTGTGACGGTGCTCAGCCCCAGCTCTGCTGCCTGAATGAGGCCCCGGTGGGCCCTTGGCTCTGGGCAGTGTGGCTGTGGGGCATCTTGGCTGGTGGATCACAAGAGGATCACCTCCATAGAGCAAAGACCCCTTCCCACCTGGCCTTGCTGGTTTGCTTGTTTGCTGCACAAGAGGCTTGAGGGGTACCTGGAGGAGGAACCCCGTGGGAGGGAGTCACGATTCTTTTCTGCACCTGATTTTGTGCTGGGTGTCCTTGGCTCCTCCATGCCCTCTGCCTGAAGGGCAAGGGGCTGTGGGGCGGGGGCACAGCCAGAGACAAGGAGCCAGACACCCACTCCCAAGTGTCAAGGCATGCAGAGAGCTAGTTCCTGTACTGAGTTTGGCCTTCTGAGTAATCATCACTACCTGGATGAGACCCCATGTCAGATGGTCAGAGGACAGCTGGAGAGGAGGGGGAGGGCTGGGCTCCTGGGCCTCTGCCAGAGTGGCTGACTGCCCCCTAGGGGGCTGACCCAGCACTGTGGCCAAGGGGAGGGTGAGGGGAGATGAGGAGAGTCCTTGCTTCCCTGATGAAAGGCCCTGCCAGTCTGGCATTTGGCTTGGTGGCAGAGGGGCTGTGGGATTATCACGGCCTGGCCTGAAAGAACATCGCAACACGGACAGATCCAGCTGGACGTCTTAAGCAGCCCTTGTCTCTTGCATAGGTAGCCTAGGAGATTGGGCTGGGGAGGAGTTGGTGGCCTGCTGGCACCAAAGACATGAGGTCCTGGAAGCCCAACGTAGGATGCTGAAAGCCAAGACCTCCAAGGTAGCATTCTCTGAAATGCTACCTGCTCCATGCGCAGGCCAGACGGACAGGCACAGCTTGGGGGTCTCAATGCATGGATGAGATTATGGTGTCAGGTGGAGGGGTTGGGACTGGTCAGGTTGGGACTGTACAAAAGGGTTAGGGTTGGACTGGGATGGAACCAGACTGTTGTGAAGAGCTCCAAGGGGACTTCTCCAAACCAATGGATGCTGAGACAAAGAATCTCTGGGTTCAGCCAACCAGCTACAAATCCACAAAGGATGTAGCCCACATTTTACCAGCTTAACCACAGGAATATCATACGGGACTTTGTTGAAAGTCTTATTGAAATCAAGATAAACTTCGTCCAAAGCATTCCCCTTATCCACCAAGCCTGTAGCTATTAATAAGAAATAAGGAGGTTGTTTTTCCTTTCTCCTATTGTTTTGGAAAGTGCAAATTTGATTGATCCTCCTTTAAATGTGAACTGAATTTAATTTCTCCTCACTCCCTAGTACTGTTTTTTCCTATGCTGTGATTTGTCCTTTGGCTGCCTTGCTGCAGGAGGCAGGAGACAAGTGGCCCCCAGTGCACTCTCTCTCTCTCTCTCTCTCTCTCTCTTTCTCTCTCTCTCTCTCTCTCTGTGTGTGTGTGTGTGTGTGTGTGTGTGTGTGTGTCAAAACAAAAAAAATTCCTTCCAGTAGCACCTTAAAGACCAACTAAGTTAGTTCTTGGTATGAGCTTTCGTGTGCATGCACACTTCTTCAGATACACTCTCTCTCTCTCTCTCTCTCTCTCTCTGTGTGTGTGTGTGTGTGAGAGAGAGAGAGAGAGAGAGAGAGATGGTTTTGTGGCCTGAGGAGTTTCTCTGGTAACAGATGGAGGAGCTGCTCCCTGGCTGGCCCTCATCAGCACCATCTTCAGGCAATTGTTGTTGTTGTTTAGTCGTTTAGTCGTGTCCGACTCTTCGTGACCCCATGGACCAGAGCATGCCAGGCCCTCCTGTCTTCCACTGCCTCCCCCAGTTTGGTCAAACTCATGCTGGTAGCTTCAGGAACACTGTCCCACCATCTCGCCCTCTGTCGTCCCCTTCTCCTTGTGCCCTCCATCTTTCCCAACATCAGGGTCTTTTCCAGGGAGTCTTCTCTTCTCATGAGGTGGCCAAAGTATTGGAGCCTCAGCTTCACGATCTGTCCTTCCAGCGAGCACTCAGGGCTGATTTCCTTCAGAATGGAGAGGTTTGTTCTTCTTGCAGTCCATGGGACTCTCAAGAGTCTCCTCCAGCACCATAATTCAAAAGCATCCATTCTTCGGCAATCAGCCTTCTTTATGGTCCAGCTCTCACTTCCATACATCACTACTGGGAAAACTATGGCTTTAACTATACAGACCTTTGTTGGCAAGGTGATATCTCTGCTTTTTATGATGCTGTCTAGTCTTCAGGCAATAGCAGAGCTTTTTAGAAGCAGAGTCATGCACCAAGAAGCCAGTGAATCATCCCGTTTGACAGCCACAACCAGGCTTCTGTGGACGGGAGAAGAAGGGGCCTTATGGCTCCTTGCAGCTGATCCCAAATCCTCCTTAGCCTAGAACACACACACACACACACACACACACACACACACACACTTCTTCATGATCCTCAATCTGGACCCCTCCCACTGACGATCTACTTGTTATGACTGAAAACCCTAAAGAAAGTTTAAAAAGAATGCTGGAACTGATTAAACATTTTGGAGAAGTGGCAGGCTTTAAGCTGAATATAACAAAAACAAAATTGCTTCTTAAAAATGTAACAACAAAGGAAAAGGATGATTTAGAAAAAACATTGGGCCTGAAAATTTCTCAAAAAGCGAAGTATTTTTGGATCACCCCCAAAAATATAAATTTATTTCAGGATAACTACACAAAAATTTGGTTAGAGATTAGAAAAAACCTTGAAACCTGGAATGTTAGAATCATAGAGTTGGAAGAGACCACAAGGGCCATCGAGTCCAACCCCCTGCCAAGCAGGAAACACCATCAGAGCACTCCTGACATATGATTGTCAAGCCTCTGCTTAAAGACCTCCAAAGAAGGAGACTCCACCACACTCCTTGGCAGCAAATTCCACTGTCGAACAGCTCTTACTGTCAGGAAGTTCTTCCTAATGTTTAGGTGGAATCTTCTTTCTTGTAGTTTGGATCCATTGCTCCGTGTCCGCTTCTCTGGAGCAGCAGAAAACAACCTTTCTCCCTCCTCTATATGACATCCTTTTATATATTTGAACATGGCTATCATATCACCCCTTAACCTCCTCTTCTCCAGGCTAAACATGCCCAGCTCCCTTAGCCGTTCCTCATAAGGCATCGTTTCCAGGCCTTTGACCATTTTGGTTGCCCTCCTCTGGACACCTTCCAGTTTGTCAGTGTCCTTCTTGAACTGTGGTGCCCAGAACTGGACACAGTACTCCAGGTGAGGTCTGACCAGAGCAGAATACAGGGGCACTATTACTTCCCTTGATCTAGATGCTATACTCCTATTGATGCAGCCCAGAATTGCATTGGCTTTTTTAGCTGCCGCGTCACACTGTTGGCTCATGTCAAGTTTGTGGTCCACCAAGACTCCTAGATCCTTTTCACATGTACTGCTCTCAAGCCAGGTGTCCCCCATCTTGTATTTGTGCCTCTCATTTTTTTTGCCCAAGTGCAATACTTTACATTTCTCCCTGTTAAAGTTCATCTTGTTTGTTTTGGCCCAGTTCTCTAATCTGTCAAGGTCGTTTTGAAGTGTGATCCTGTCCTCTGGGGTGTTAGCCACCCCTCCCAGTTTGGTGTCATCTGCAAATTTGATCAGGATGCCCTTGAGTCCATCATCCAAGTCGTTGATAAAGATGTTGAATAAGACCGGGCCCAAGACAGAACCCTGTGGCACCCCACTAGTCACTCTTCTCCAGGATGAAGAGGAACCATTGATGAGCACCCTTTGGGTTCGGTCAGTCAGCCAGTTACAAATCCACTGAGTGGTAGCATAGTCAAGACCGCATTTTACCAGCTTCTTTACAAGAATATCATGGGGCACCTTGTCAAATGCCTTGCTGAAATCAAATGATTATAGAATGAAATAGAATGATGTTGGATTGAAATTAAGTGGTTTCTAGCTGTAATGGTATAAAAGAATATGAAAAAATGGTTTTTTATAAGTAAAAATTCAAGGTTATAATAACTTAAGATTAAAGATCAGGGTAGAATAAAGAGGGAAAGAAACTGCTGAGCTAATAAATTGAATTGGAATACAAAAAAGGGAGGTATGAGGAGGTCCGGGAAACAAGTAAATGAGAAATAATGTGATGAAAAGATTGATTGTTTTTAACTATTTTTATTTTGTATTTTTTCTTTTTTCTTTTTCTATTTTGTAATGTAAAAACCCTAATAAAAATGTTATTAAAAAAAACAAAAACCTTGAAACCTGGAGTAAACTAAAGTTAACATTTCTGGGCAGGATTTCCATTATAAAGATGAACGTGCTTCCAAAATTAATCTTTTTATTTCAAATGATTCCAATACTGGGTGAAGCGGGCTGCCTCGAGATATGGCAAAGAGAGATTTCCAAATTCTTGTGGGAAGGGAAGAAACCCACATTCCATGCCGGAGTGAGAGCCAGGTATCAAGACCAACTGTGAGTGAAGGCTGTTCTGCCCCTGCCCCCCCCCCATCCCTGGGGAGAACTTGCAAGGATAATTACCCTCAATCGTCCTTGTTTTTTCTTTGCTAACAATCTCCCGCTATTGTAGGAGCTGCCTCCATTAAGGCAGACAGGAACCAGTAGCCGAAGGATGCTGTAGTTGTGATTCCTGGATCACAAGTGGTTGGATTAGATGACCCTCGGGTGTCCCTTCCAACTCTACACTTATTATATGACACCAGGCAGCAAGGAAAGCAAAAGGCAGCCGACTGACACACACAGTCTGCCACCTCTGTCGAAATCTCTGTGGAGCAGAACACACTGGCTCCCTTCCACAATGCATGGAGGGAGGCAGCTCTATGGCCTGCTGGGCCCCACCCTCTCCATCTGAGCTCAGACAAGGAGGAAGGCACAGCTGGGCCCAGGAGTGGCAGCATATCCTTGCTAAGCATGGAAAATCCACCCCCCCCCCAATACTCTGAGACATGTTCTCCCTTCACTGTCAGAGGCAGGAGCCTTCAGAGTACCAGTTGCTGGAAGCCACCAAGGGTGGGGGGAGTCCAGATAGTCCTCTTGTGCTCGGGTCTTGCTTGTGGGATTCCATAACGGGCACCTGGTTGACCACTGTGAGGACAGGATGCTGTCCTAGGTGTGTCCTAGGTGTCCTAGGTCCTTTGGCCTAATCCAGCAGACCCTTCTCATGTCCTCAACAGTCCCACTGCTGGTGTGTGCCTGCTGGCAATCTGGACCCCCAGGGAACACCCTGCTGCAGCTCCTGCCCCTCCACCCCTTATGGGGCCTTCTGGCCCACAAGGGCTAAGACAAGCCCAGCCCCTTCCTACATGGTCCTGCATGCAGTGCCTTTTGCCGCCTGCCGGGTGGGGCTGCGGGGCTCTTTCCTGCCCAGCTCCCTCTGCTGAGAGCTGCTTGGGAATATTTATTCTGTAGGCTGTGCAAACTTGTTAATTGCTCCGCCCAGGCCAGGCCAGGGTCAGTGCTAGACCTGGAAAGGACTCCTTCCAAACTCTACTGGAAACCCATTTCCTACCATGGGAGCATCTCCATTTGCAGCTCCCTGTTTAAATGGCATAGACTCTGTCATCGCCTCCAAACTGTTCCATCTTCTCTGCTAATGAATGTCTAATTACAGCAGGTGCTGCATGTGTGTTCAGCGACTGAGGGCAGAGTGTGTCCCAGGCTGCTGGCAGCTCCAGGACGACGTGGGCAGCAAAGGTGCTCCTCTGCCTCCTGCTCTCCCTAATTCCCCTCGGAGTGATGAGCCAGGAACAGGTGTGGGGCTGAGGAAGGGGTGCCTTCCTCCTGGGGCACCCGCTTGCTTGCCTGTCCACCGGCCCACCTGTCTCTCAGATCAGCCCCGGGGGGCTATTTCTGGCTCTGGGCTCAGCGCAGGCAGCTGAGGATTAGGACCACCTCCCCATGCCAATAACGTCACCTCTGGCACAGCTCCGGCTGCCTTGGGAGCAGGGCCTGCTCTGGGGGCTTCTCCCCATCTCCTGGGGACAGCTCTCTGGGGACCTGATGGCAGGAGCAGCAAAAGCCCCCCCAAGAGATGGGGGTTTCAGAGGAAGGGAGAAGAACAGGGCCTGCTCAGATGTGGGGGGAGGAGAGCTCCCTTGTGTCCTCTGCCCCAGGATGCTATTGCTGCTGGGATTACAGAGAGGACCACCCAGAAGCGGACGGGGGGGGGGGGCAAGGGAAACCAGTCTGGGTACTGGTCCCATTAAGTTAGAGCACTTAGCAGATATCAGCCTGTTAGCCTCGCAGGCCTCGGGGCAGGCATAGCGCTCAGGGTTGTCTCTGCTGCGCAGGAGCAGCTCCTCAGGCTTTAAGGCAAAGCCTGGAAATGCCGTGGGGGCTTACTCATGGGAAGGTGGGGCTCTGCCCCTGAGCCCCTATGGCCCTTTCCCTCCACAGTCTCTGCTGCTGTTTCTGCACACCTGTGGGGAGCTCAAAAAGAAGCTGCTGGCAGCTCAGTGGCCGCCTACAAATATACTGGCTGTTTCTGGGCACAGGCAGGCTGGTCTGTCCTTGATCCTGGAGGGGGGATGTTAGGATGTTAGGGAGGGGGCGATAGAGCAACAGTCTTGGCAGAGGAGGGAGGGAGGGTGCAACTGCCCAAGCAGCCTGAGGTTCACACCCAGGCCCCAAACCTGGGAGGGCTGGATGACAGCATCTACGGAGGTCAGAGAGAAGCATGAGAAAGGACACCTTCCTTCTTGCTTGCTCAAAGCCTATATGGCAAAGGGAGGGCCAGGCTGGGGCTCAGTCTGACGGAGACAAGGGGCTTCCTCGCAGGGAGGATTGAGTGCAGCAGCCAAGGAGACCCAGGAAGGGCTCTGCGAAAGACACAACAACCCCTCAGCCTCAGTGGCCTCAGCAGCTGCAATGAAGAAGAAGACTTTAATTTATTTGAGGTGACTCACAACATGAAAGTACTGTAAAATATATAGTGTTATGGCTGGGGGACCAGAGTCTGTTAGTGAATATTAGAAACTAATAAACGGAAGTATTTAGATAATATGTGGGATAAGAAGGGAAAAGACAAGCTGCAGAACTGCGCCAGAATCCATGGGTTCTCCTTGCAGAGCCACTGAGCAACAATGGGGGACCAGCATGGAGTCATTTGGGGCCTTGGCAATGCAAAAGAACTGTGCCCCCCAGGAGTGGACAGACAGGAGAATTGGCAGGCTGCCAAGGGGGTGGGGATGTGATGTCACAGGAAAATCTGTCCTTTTTGAAATCTAAAAGTGTGCTGGGAAGGACTCTGTGGGCTGCTGGGGAGGCGAGAGGCAGGAAGAGACACAGACCCTGGTTGGGGGCCAAGACCCCAGGAAGCCTGTGCATGGCTCAGCAGAGACTGGGGCGGCTTCCCTGGCTTGTAAGAAGAGGCTGCACTTCCCAGTGGGAGAGGCATGAACTGCCATCCATGGTAATCTCTGTTCCTTCTGCATCCAAAGTGGTGATGGGAGTGGGTGGCCAAGAGCCCAGAGCCCCTCAGTTTGGTTCCCCTTGGAAGCCTAGAAAATACCCCATGTCTTTCCTTCCTTTCAGGTGAGAGGAGCCTTTGCCAGCTGCAGTTGGCCAGGCTGTAGGGGTGCACTGGCAGCACCCCTACAGAAGAGCCAGGACTGAGGTGCCCAACAAACAGAGGGGCTCCCCTCCCCCTCTGGGAGGAGGCCAGATTTGGCCCTGGCTGCTCCTGCCGCCTGTGTTTGCAGCGCCATGCCATACCTGGCATTCTTTCCAGGCTACAGAAGTCTGCAACTGCTAAGGAGACGCTCCCATAATAAATGCCTCAGGACTGCAGCAGATGAGGGAGAAGAGGGAGAGCCCTGCCTGTGGGGCTCAGGAAGTGCAGTGGGCGAGGTCTTGTGGGGCCAGATGCCCTTTCTTGCAAGAGAGAGACAGGGAGGTGCCAAGCCAGTGGGGTCACCAGCTGGGCAGGGGGCACATAAAGAACAGGGATGGAGGTGGCGTTCTGGTCTAAACTACTGAGCCTCTTGGGCCTGCTGATCAGAAGGTTGGCAGTTCGAATCCCCGTGACAGGGTGAGCTCCTGTTGCTCGGTCTCTGCTCCTGCCAACCTAGCAGCTCGAAAACATGTAGATAAATAGGTACCACTGTGGCGAGAAGGTAAACGACATTTCCGTGTGTTCTGGCTTCTGTCACGGTGTTCTGCTGCGCCAGAAGTGGTTTTGTCATGCTGGCCTCACAACCTGGAAAGCTGTCTGTGGACAAACACCGGCTCCCTCGGCCTGAAAGCAAGATGAGGACCTCAACTCCAGAGTCGCCTTTGACTGAACTTAACTGTCCAGGGGTCCTTTACATTAAGAACACAATAAGAGCCTGCTGGACCAGGCCAATGGGCCTTCTAGCTCCACATCCTGTTCTCACAGTGGCTAGAGAGTTTTCCCATGAGAAACCAGCAGACATGAGAAACCAGCTTCCAGCCACTGGCATTCAGAAGGCAGAGCAGAGCCCTTAAGAGCTGCTCCTCCTCCATGAATTTGTCTAATCCTCTTTTAAAGACACCCAAGTTGGTGGCCATCTCTGCCTCCTGTGGGAGGGAGTTCCAAGGGTTAACTATGCCTGGATCATATCAGTAGCCCCAGTAAAGGCTTTGGACCATGCAAGGGCAACTTCTCATGGCCCTCCAGGGGCTCCCTCTCAGCCCGCCTTTCTTTACAGGTTTTGTTGTGACAATCTGAAACGGAAAGAATTGTAAAGTACTTTGCATGATGCACTGCGCTAGAAAAGACGATGACCACCACTGGCCCAGCACCCTGGACATCTCCACTCTCTCCCCCCCCCCAGGTGGGAGCTTTGCTGCTGGGGCTGGAGGAAGGACTGCTGGATGGCCCCCCCCCCTTGGGACAAAGCTCCCTGGAGGCCTGGCTGTCACAGCGGCAGCCAAGGGGGCTGAACCCTCCCCTCGTCTGCAGGAAGACGCCCCCTCCACCACTTAGGTGCCCTTAGAGGCAACTCTGGGCTGTGCAAGAGAAGGGCGGCCAAGGGGCTTCTCCACCCCCTAAACTCAATTTCCCCAAATGGGGACTCCCCCCCCCCATGCCAGACCTGTGGCTGGTCCCCTAAGGTCGCTCCGCACCATCTGCAGAGAGGAAGCAAAGCCACAGACTCACGTCTTCCTTCCTTCCTGCAGCAGATAGAGGCTGCGCTGCACTGAGTCTTGGGCAGAGAGGCTCTGGGGGTGCCTTCATCCTCTCGCTTCTTGGGGGAGCTTGGCTGGCCTCCCTGCGCAGCGCTTCCTCCAAGGTGGGAGAGACTCAATTATTGCCAGTGGGAACTAAGGGACTCCTGCCTTCTTCTTCTCCCAGGCCTTTTAAACTGTGTGCGTTGCAATGTCTTTGCTATTATGGTGTGGATGTTTGTGTTTTTATGTTGTAAACCACCCTGTAATCTTTGGATGAAGAGCAGTATAGAAATATAATGAATCCTTCTCCTCCTCCAGCCCAACTCCCCGCAACACAGGAATCACATCTAGAGAATTCCAGGTGCCCCGCTGACCTGTTTCAACACCTCCAAGGGAGAGCCCAGCACATTCTGATGGAGTCCATTCCAATGTTGAACAGCTCTCACTGTCAGAAAGTTATTCCTGTTTAGTCAGAAACTCATTTATTCCCATTTGAATCCACTGGTTTGGGTCCTACACCCCAGAACGGGGGGGGGGGGGGGAGCTTGCGATTGCCCTTTATAGAGATCTGAAGGTGGCCGCCATATCTCCTTTCAGTCTCTCCTCTTATCCAGACTAAACATTCCTAACTCCCTCAACCGTTCCTCCTAAGGCTCGGTTTCCTGACCCTTGATCATCTCGGTCGCCTTCTCTGCACGTTCCAGCTTGCTAATATCCTTCTTAAACTGGGGGTGCCCAGAACTGGACCCAGGACTCCAAGTGTGCTCTGACCAAGGCCAAAGAGGGTAGTGCTAGGACTTCCATGGATCTGGACATGAGATTTATGTTGGTGCTGCCTAGAAGAGCATTAGCATTGTTTGCTGTTGCATCTTGCTACTGACCCATGCCAAGCTTATGGCCTCCTAAGACTCCCCTTGTCCTCATGTACTGCTGTCAAGCCAGGTGCCCCCCCCCATATCTATGTGCAACTTGTTCTTCCTGCCCAAGTGCAAAGCCAGCCGTCTCCTCCTTGCAGGCTGTTTAGCCATAATAAGCATTCATTCAGTCTCTTCCTCTCAGGCACAGGCCCACAACTTTCCAAGAACGATGGAGAATGGCCGCCTCACCGCTCCCTCCTAACTCTATTGCTTATTAAGTTTAGAAGCACAAGTCCCAGTCCCGATCCTTGAAAGAACTATCCATTTATTCCTGCTCTCTGCTTCCTGCTACTTAACCAGTTCCTGATCCCTGAGAGAAGAGTCTTTAGCAAGGTACTTTGTCAAAAGCTTTTTGAAAGGCTCAACTGGATCACCTCTCTATATGCTTGTTGACACTCTCAAGAGGTTCATGAGACAGACAGAGCTTGACTTGCAGAAGCCATGCTGGCTCTGCTTCAGCAAGGCTTGTTCTTCGATGGGCTTAGTAATTCCATTTTAAAAGAATTCTCCACTAGCAGATGTTTCCTGGAACAGAGATTAAGCTAACCAGCCTGCCATTTCCTATGGATACCATTCTCCTAGATTTGTGTATCATTTGCAAGGTGGCTCAAAACCTATTGTGTGGTGTCTACACCCCAACCTGGTTCCTTATTCTGTATATATTGCCTGTGATTGGTGTGGGCACACAACTTTGCCCCCAGAGAACATGAGTGTGCATATTGAGGGGGACAGTCCCCGAGATAGGGAGATCTGTAATACGGAGTAAACACACACTTATTGGGGGTTCAAGGACATGTGCCAAAGGTCAAGGGAGGACCAGTTGAGATTGCCCAGGGTGGCTAGGTGCCCAGCATTTGTGCATGTTCGGCAAAGAGAGCCACTCCCTCCCCCCCCCTCCCGTGTCTCAGCAGGCTTTTCTTCCTTTCAGAGGAGCAAATGGGAGTGACACCTCTTGGGACGGGACGGACAGGGCTGCCTGCGGGATGTGTGAGTGGCGGCTGCAGAGAATAAGGCAGGCACTAGACTGGCTCTGAAACTCTTTCCAATCTTCCTCAGGCTCTTCTTGCCCCACAGCTGAGCCCCATGCATCACCCTCAGGATGGTCGAGTGGGGAAGAGAGACCCAAAGGTGGGGGGGGGGCGTAGCACCTGTTCCACACCACTGAGAGACGGAAGTTGCAGGGAAGCCAGTTTATTCAAGGCAGGCCCTTTGCAGGCCTGGGGGGTGGGGTGGGGGCGTGTCTGGTTCTCCGTGTGCTGATCACACACACCCCATAATCCATAGACTCATGCAACTGTAGAGATTTGGAAGGGACCCTAAGGGTCATCTAGCTCAACCCCCTGGGACACAGGGGTCCCTCCACCCGCCTCCCTTGGATTCCCTGACATAGAAAGGACACAGGCGGCTTATGGATGTATCAAAATTACAAAAGGTGAGAAGCCTCAGCAAGTGTGGGGGGAGGGTTTCAAAAAAGGGTGGTGTCGAGCCTTGTGGTTTGGGGGTTTGCAGCACAAAGCAAATTTGCTGCTGCTGCTGTAATGGGGGGGGTTAGGGCAGGACCTGGAGGGGGGCAGGCAAGTGGGTGCCAGAACCGGGGGGGGGGGGATGTTCTGGGCCCACACAGACAGGCACTTGGGAACAAGAGCAGCTATGACAAGAGAGGAGTGGGGTGCAGAGGCCTGGGGGGCAGCAGGCAGAGAGGGGGTTGAGGGGGGCTGCTGCCTCTAAGCCCCCCCCGTGGCTCCCATTTAAGGCACCCAATATTTGGTTGGAGTGGAGGCTAATCCACATTGCACAGTCAGGCCACAGGCAGCGACCCCCCACCCTCCAGAGCAGAGCCCCTCCCAGAGAGAGAGGCAGGCTGAGTAGCCAAGGCACAAGGAAGGAAGATTCCTGGAAGAAAAGGCGAGGGGGCTTGGGGAGCCTCTGTCCCCCCCCACTCTCCCTAGAAGGGCAGTCCAGAGCGTGGCACGTGGCGGGGGCCGTGGGGCAGGGCGGGCGCAGGGTGGGCAGTGGCAGGCCTCCATCTCTCCCTGCTCGGGAGGAGGCCTGGCTGGTCCTTGCTGGGGGCGGGGGTGTCGGCATTAAATAGGGGAGCAGGGGGGGCCGCGGCGGTGCTCAGGGGCAGAGGCAATGGCGGAGCTCAGTTTGGCCCTTCATCCCGCAGCTCCGAGGGCAGGAACTTGTACTGCTGCTGCCGGATCATGGCCAACTTCTTGCGTGCCTCCTCCAGCTCCCGCTCCTTGCGCAGCATCTCTTCCTGGGCAGCAATGATCTGGGGGGGGGGGCAGACCGTGAGGCGGGGGGTGGGAGTAGCTGCCCCATTGCTTGACAGCAGCGCCTGCACTGGGGGGGGGCACCTGGCACTCCCCCCTTCCTCGCTTGCAACCACTGGGGGGGCCAGAGTCCCACCTGCCTGCAAAGGCAGCCTCGGCCCCCTGTCCTCCCCCCACCCCTCCCTGGGGGCTCACCTGCGCAATCCCGCCCACCATCTTCTCCTTCACCACCACCGTCTCGTTCTCCTGGTCCTGGAAGGCGGCCGCTTTCTGAGCTGCCTTCACCAGGTTGTCGGACGCCCTCTTGACGGCGTTGCCAGCGGCCTGGAGGTGTGGGGAGAGAGAGAGGGATGGGACTCCCCCAGGCTACAGGCATGGGGGGCAGGAAGGAGCCGGCCAGAGGAGGCTCACCAGCCCTGGCCCCAAACCAGACGTAGGAAATTTGGGGATTTTTTGGGTGTTGGGGGTGGGATTAAATCTGGAAATAAAACCTTCCCAGAAGGCAAAATATTTTAACAGCCACATCGTGAGGCATGAAGTGCAGGAGAGCAGAGCTGCCCTGGGCTGTCCATTCGCAGGACCCCTCGCCCATTCCCCCTGCCCACAGCCAACTCCCCCCCTCCCAATTTGGCTTATGCTGGACACAGGGTGCAGGGTGAGGGAGGGGTCGGCAGCGTGGGGGCCAGGGAAGACATGGCCTCCCACACGCCCTT